TTCAAACTTCAATGACCTTTATAAACATTTAATGCAGACATAAATCTATTATTGCATAGCTGATTGCATTACAGATATCACATTGCTAAAATTCGTTTTAAATCTCCAATAAAACAGGTGATATTATTAACCAGCATTAATTCACATGGCATCCTTCAGTTTGGACCATCATTCAGTAATTTGAAGATGAAACCAATGTGGATGGAAATCAAAAACACCCCATTAAACATTCATTTATACACTTTACATAAAGAACATGTGACAGTAATGAATATTTCTGTCTTCTGTGTTGTTGTGCCATGTATTCTAGTTGAAGTTTACTGATGTTTCAGAGGTGCTTGCTGCCTCCATCATTATCAGTCGCTGTTCTTTTTCTTCAAGGTGTTGTGATGCAATTTTAAATATTTATGCTTAAGTTTCTAGGAAAAGATTGCAGTTTCCCATTAACCATAAGTTTTTATTTTTATTGTGTCATAAATTGCTAATACTGTAAAATGCATCATCACATCCAGAAGACAGCTCCCAGTTTTACAGTCATCCTGTCCTGTCAATACTGTATAACATACACAGATAAGTAGGCAGCATTAAGTAACTAAATACATAAAATAAGTCTTTTTTGTTAAAATTTAGTCACAAAGGAAAGATTTTTGTGATGAAAAGACATTATGACAGCATAGGACTGAACCATGAATAAATTAGTGACTGAAATGTTGTTTTTGTCATCATATTTTTATATACTTTTCCACTGATATAGAATAGTTTCTGATATGCAGTATTCTTCTACACTCACTTTCTGATATAAAATCCTGTACATGCTATTGATAGAATATTTGACATTTGAATGAGAAATTTACCGCTGTTACAGGATGTTCGAGAACTGTTTCAGAAGTATGATGTAAATAGAAATGGGTTCATATCTTTATGTGAACTCCGTAACCTGATAACATCTGAGAATTATGCGCAAGACTTGCCAGAAGTTGCAGTTCATCGAATATTGAAACGAGCAGATGCAGATCAGAATGGATATTTAGATTACAAAGAGTTCAAGCAAATGGTAATAATCATTCTTTAACCATCAATATACGATATGTTTAATCAGCAATGTAACTGATGATAGATTCAAATAATGGAAATGCTGCTAGAGCATTGGGATGTTTGTCTTTGTTTCTATGTTCAGAGTTGCTCTAGAACCCATCGAGCCTCCTATCCAAATAGTCCAAGTGGCTTTTATCCCGGTGCGAAGCTACAACAAAATTGTTTTAATTTTGTGTTACATTCGTTTTAAACACTCTATTGTTTCTTTAATATTTCTTTGCTATCTGCATTACAGGTAGGTAATGGCACTCGAAGGTTTCTGAATGTTGGTTTTAATTTGTATGCATATAATTTTAGATTAACAAATCGGAGAGTAAAAGATTTTTGTGAAGTGTCATGAATAAGAGGGTTGGCTTGTTGGTCACTTCATGCTGAAGATAGAGGCCTCTAATTTGTGTGACATCAACTTATCAAAAATTATGTATGCTCAAGAAAAATGAATTCCAGCGTGGAGTACGCATATTTTCCATATCCATTATTTGTTTATGACTTGAATCTTTCATGGCAACTAACAATGATAAAATCCTCTTGGGTGACCATCCACAACAACTTGGAACAGAAGTCCAACGTTTGAAAGACTATCTTTGTCTCCATCATCAGGGAATGATGTGATGGGTAACCACAGTTTGTTGTTTATGTATGTAATTGATGCCCCTTCATGTGTTGTCAATGGCCAGTGAGAAAAAGAGAGCAGAGTCTAGAGGAACCCATATCAAAACAAGAGTTGCTGTATCTGGAACTTTGGGTCAAAACAACCCAACCAATGTCATTGATGAAAAGGTTCCAGTCATCTGCAACAGGGACTTGCACAACACCATATTAAAAACTCAGAATCCTTTATACAGAAAATACAGGAGATACTTTCACAGAATACTGACAGACTGTTTAGTTCTGATGTGTATTTTATTAATTTTCTGCAAAGGATGCATAACAACAAAAAGGGAACAAGCTACATTTGCTAATATTACTATTCAGTGCTTAATTTGCATGAAAAGAGGCAGTGGAACACAAAACTAATAAATATGATAGGCCTATTTTTACATATATTATTCCATATACATAAGTGTAATAACACGTTTTATTGCTGTTAGTGATGTCATAGAGAATGTAAAACACTTCAGACCTAGGTTTTAATGTTGTTTCTGTCCTTGAATCTGTTCCAGATGACAAGCCCAGACTGGCAGATTGATGTGCAGCAAGCATTCCAACAATATGTTGATCTCCTTGTTCCTCCACGTCCTCGCAGTCATGATGAGGTTGATACTGGTGATAAAGCGTCAATCAAATGGAAATATGACGCCCAGTATAGATATTGGCCTCCTCCACTTGGGATGATTATCATTAGCATCATAGAGGTAGGACATTATTTGCGACAATATTATTACTTCTTTCTCTTATTCTTCGAGTACTTGACTCATCATTCCAAAGGAAAGACACTAACCACTGCTCGTAAGTTAATTTTAAATTTACCAAGTCAAGTAGCCATCATTACATTATCTGTACAGCTACTTCTAAATATCCTATGTATTTATTCCTTAGATAAATATAAATTACAGATATTAAAGAAGGAATTACAGGAAAAGTAAATAATGCAAGAATATTTTACCAATAAATGAGGGATAAACACTGAGAATATGAATTTCCTGAAGGGAAAATATGTCTGTTTAAAAGTTACTACATGCCCATTTTAACATTAGCAAACTAATGGCAGCAGAGATAAGAACTTTAAGAAAAAAATTAAAAGACATATGAAGAGTAAAAAATTTGGGAAAATTTAGAAATAAACACCTTTGTTGGCAAATTATAAAATAACATAATATGGACACATTTTATGGTTGAAGTTTTAAACATGAAAGTACCGAAGACAGTACTGATGTTAAGATGGAAAGAGTAGGTCAGGAAAAATATCACATTGAAAGACTGAGAAACATGTGAAGAAATTGAGGAGGAGCTGTAGGAAGACACTGATAGATGGAGGAACTTAGCTGTCAAGACACTCATGTCAAGTTTAAATATCTTAGGAGAAAAAGATGAGAGTAAAGGCTTGTGAAAAATTGTTGATGCCTTTCCTCTGTTACATCATGGATGTTCTATAATTGTATACATGTAGAGAGGATGCCCCAATATTTTAAAACCCTGGGAATTGGGATTCCTGTTGGTCCATGGATCATTCTACCATCCCACCATCCTGATAGCATCATCCATCCACCACATGGATTCTTGTATCAGTTACATGGTCCCTTCAGACCCAGTTATATTACAGCTTTCTGATATACAGCTACAAAGTCAGGTGTGTTTTTTATCTCATTATGAAAAGTATTTGAAGTAGTTATTTTCTTTATTTAGAAAAAAAGTACCTGTTAGCTGAAACATGATGAATCACCCCCAACTTGTCGACTGGCTTTTTCTTGACCAGTTTAGTTCACTGTGTAGCTGTATTCTGGTTGAGATTGAGACATAAGACATACATATAAAATTTCTTTGTCTAAAAATTATGTGTTGACTTTAGCAGTTCATTTTCATAAAATTCTTTTAATTTCAAGTTCAGAAATGTTTCAGGTTGGTAACTTGGCAGAAAGTAACGACTATTTGTAAAATACTATGAATAATGGAGTTACTGCTTTGCAAATATAATATGAATAATTTGTGCTAAAAGTGTAATACTTCTTCTGGAGATAGGAAGACTCCAGTAGCTTACATTTGTTGTATATCTCAAGTTTTGTTCTTTTAAAAGATTGCATTATATAATGGCGTGATATTCTGAACATTTTACTATGTAATTGCAATATGAGAAGTAACTTTCTGTATAAGTGACAGTCTTCTGTATTCTCTGTGTCACAAATATTTGCTCATATTTTAATGTGCCTTTTCAATAGTTGAAGTTACTACAGATAACATGGAGTTCTGAATGACTTACACATTAACATGCAGGTTGCCACATTCCTGACAGATCTGATCAATGCAGGCACAGAGTTGGCAGATGGTCCTCTTGCAACAAAGCTTATGTATACCCCCTACCGAAGATTTGAAGCGTGGAGATTCTTCACATACATGTTTGTGCATGTTGGGTATGGCATTTGTTTTTATTTGGCTATTTTACTATGTTTCACCAATTGCTGAGGTTATATAATGCTGAAAGAAATATGGTAGGAAGATTATGAGTGATGAATGAGGAAGGAAGTGGAAGTACATGAAGAGGCTGAGGAGAAATGTGAGAAATGAAAGTTGGGATATCTGGTACCAATCTTGGATTGGAATCAGGTAACCCTGAAATGAGAATCAAATATGTTACTGCTTGATGAGAAAGCTCTTTAACATGATAGATGTCAACTGTCATCATAAAATGTTATGGCATTTAGGATCCATGATAACTGAGTAAAGTGAAGATGGCAATCAGAATTTGATTCTCAGTAGAGTTGCTGCGATTTTTATCTTTTGCCCATTTGTTTTCACAACTACTCCTCTGGTTCTGGGGCCTACCCAGTCGTCTCTCAAATGGGTGCCAGTACTCGGTAGTAATTATATCATAACTACCATTATTATATATCATGAAGTATGTACGAGGGTGAGTCAAATGAAAACGGTAAATTTTTTTTTTTAAATTTAATTTATTGAGTGAAAGCGGTACACAACTATATCATTTTTCTACATAGTCTACATTTCGTTCAATACAGGCCCTCCAGCGTTTACGAAGTGTATGTATTCCTCTAGAAAAAAATTCTTGTGGTTGTCTGCGCAACCACTCATGCACCGCCTGCTGTATCTCTTCGTCAGAACGGAACTTCTTTCCTCCCATCGCCTCTTTGAGTGGCCCAAACATGTGGTAATCACTTGGGGCTAGGTCTAGTGAGTATGGCGGATGTGGAAGACACTCAAAGTGCAAGTCTTGGATTGTTGCAACTGTTGCACGGGCAGTATGGGGCCGAGCATTGTCATGTCAAGGACACCTCTAGTCAAAAGTCCACGTCGCTTCGATCTGACTGCAGGTCGAAGATGATTCTTCAAGATTCTTCACTGATCAAAAAACGAATTACAGAACGTTGTTCTTCTTTCGTGCACGTAACTAGTGGAGCAGCCATTTTCAAATTGGCACTGTGATGGCGATATGTTTGTCTGCATTATACTACCACCTATAGGATACTCTTTATAGCATTGGTAACATGTCTGCCAACTTATAGGACAATGGCGCGATATTTCGAATTTTTATCTCAGTTTTACGGTTTTCATTTGACTCACCCTCGTAACACGCTGCCTTATTGTGAGAAATAACCTACTAGTACTATGAATTCTGACTGAGTCCAGGTATTCCAGTTTGGTAGCTAGCTTTGTTGTGATTAAGTGATAAAACCAATCTATTTCTCATTTGTAAAATTTTCGTTGGTATGTTATTACATTATGATGACCTTTTATTATGGCTGTTCTGATTTGTAAGTGATTCATGTAATCTTAAAATTCTGGAACTATTTTTCATAGTCAGAAATTCTATATAATTAAAGTTTTGAAACTTTTAAAATCGTTCAATGTGACACTTTGCAGAATTTTATAAAATAACTCACGTTACAGAAGGGTTCATCTTGCGGTGAACCTCATTATTCAGATACTACTTGGTATACCGCTAGAGATGGTGCACCAGTGGTGGCGTGTCCTAATTATCTACATGGCTGGTGTTGTGGCAGGCTCACTTGGTACCTCAGTCACTGAACCCTACATTCGCCTGGCTGGAGCTTCGGGTGGAGTATATGCAATTCTCATGGCTCACATTGCAACTATTATCTTGGTGAGACAATTTCATTATATTCTCAAACTGAACTGGTTAACACAGCAGTAATACATCTAACATTTATCTATGGGGCATCTTATTTAAGTATTGGCCTGTGGTCCAGCTATCCTGTTCGAAACTTGTTTGTGGTTTTCTCAGGCAGATATTAGGTAAGTGTCTTGAAAAGGATAATGCTCATGTCATTCTCTGTTTTTTCCAGTTTATTGAGTACACATTTTTATCCTCTTCTCTCAGTCAGTACTAAACATCATATGCTTTGTTAAAACAAGGATTTTGTAGTTCTGTCTGACTATGGTACAGGAATTAAAATGAGAAGCTGAGAATAGGGAAAACTGGCGAACTCTTTTTGGGCAGAAGAATGGACCTGTCGTCAGACAGAACACTAAATAATAATAATGGTACAAAACCATACCAAGGCTCAGCCAGCCATTTCCTGGCCTTGACATGATTTCACACAAACAGTGCAAGGTTGGTTGAAGACTGCCAACATCTTTAGGACAGTATTTGAAATTGAAAGCATAATAAGCCTTCTATCATTTGTACCAATCATTGATCATATTAGGCTTGAGATTTTCAGTGCATTTCATATTATTTGTATAGTATTATAGCAGTGTCAAAATAGTATGGATTTCCTAGGTTTTAGAGGAACATGTTGCCTTTCTCTTCAGGATTAATATTAGAAATGCTGTACCCACAAGGCTTTAGTATGAGAATTATCATAAATCTTTTGTTGGAGTGGCCTGCTGGGGCAGGGAAAGGTTTGAATACTCTGTATGCCAGGATTAGGGTCAAGGAGGTACTGCCATTTTTTTTTAATTTTGAAGCATTTAAACTTATTAAATGAAAATAATGATGATCTAGTTTTATTTATCTGATTGCAGATTCTCTGACTTTGAAATATTTATCGAAAAGTAACATATGAACTTCTCCACCTATCCAGTTTTTACAAAGGATAATTTTTCAGAACCTATCCACTCATATGAGTCCATACCAAGATAGAAAACATATGAAAATCACCTCCAAACCTTCTGTATGACTTATTAACATGTGGAACATTACCTTCACCCTCAAAAAATGATAAGTATTAGGCAGTGTAAATGAAATTGCATAAATAACCTATATAGTAACAATGCAAAAAAGAAAAACTGAGGGATAGATGACCGGGTCTGCAGTGGCCGCGCGGTCTGAGGCGTGGGCCTTGTGCCGCTTGGTCGCAGGGACTGTGGGTTTGAATCCCACGGATGTTTGTCCGCGTTTTTCTGTGTTGTGCTGTCCTGTGTACAGGTAGAGGCCTTGCGACGGGCCGATCCCTCGTCCGAGGAGTCCTACCAAATGTCTATAGATCAAGCCAACGAAAAGTTGGGACCCGCAGTGTTCAGGCACTTGAAGAACGGGTCGTTCCCAGTATCCCATTATCCAGAGGGATAGATTCAAGGCCTGCTATTGTAAAATTAATGTAAGGACAAAGAATAAATATTTTTGAATGTTGTGATTTTTGATATACTCAGTGGTAGACTAGTAGGAAGAGTTGTGAATACTTCTGTAATGACAGCAGCCATATATATGACCCTAGCTCTTTCTTTCTTAATATGGAACTTCTACAAAAGGGCAATGCCAAGTAGTTCTAAATATTTGTGACATCATTATGTAAAGATGTTTCAACTCAAAACACTGGTTAGGAAACATCCTTACATCACTTTAATGTGAAATTTGTTTTAATTTCCAGAACTGGTCAGAGATGAAGATGGCTGTATTACAGCTGGCATGTCTACTAGTTCTGATTGTTACTGATGTTGGCTCAGCAATTTATTACCGCTACTTCACTGATCGGGAGGATTCGGTATGTCCTTAAAAAGCAGACAATTTTGGTGACTAGAATGCTAACAGAGATATTTGAAAGGCTCAGTCTTTCAAAGTGTAAATTTGTTACAGATTTTTCAAGCAAATTAACTTAAACATTTAAAGATTACTTTATGAGTCTATGCCTAAAATATGTTTCTTAAATAAAAATATGAATTCTTTCTTTGATGGTTAGCCAAAGCAGTAAACGTTACAAGCCACATTTGCTGTACATGGTTTTAATTGAGTCTGAAATATCTCAAACATTTTTAAATAAATTTACCTCTTTCAGAAACAGTTACATTTGTTGATAACAACACTTAAAACTAAAGTATAACACTCTGGTAGTTGAACGCAGAAGTTTAAGCCCACTTGTTGGACATGATCATGAGTTAACTCAGTTCAGCTTTCATCCTCACAGCCTGTGTCCTTGAGCTCCATCTTAATGTTATGTTCCCATCAATCGTTCATTTGCTAAGAGATTTTCCCTCAAAAATTCTGTGTGCAATTGTTGTCTCCTCATCTTAGCTACACACTCGGACTATTGTACTGTCTAAACAATGTTAGGAAACATCTGTGACCGACAAAGGTCCTTATTGTATTTTATTCTTCATATTTTTCAGGCCCAGATATTTTCTTGAGCACTTCATATTTATGTTTATCCCCTTGTGTAATAGACCACATTTCACAGCCACAGAACTGTTGTTTTGTATTTTGATTCTTCTTATCTTTTGATAAGTAGATTTGATGTAATAAGACAAATAGAAGGGAAACATTTACGTTATCCCCGTGCTTAAGTACAGCATCCAAAGACACATGATGGACATAACATAAGCACAGTGTGGCATACTTTCACTGTGGAAAATGTGATTACGTATACTGAAAAAGGAATATTAATTTTTTAACTTCATTAACGTGAAACCATGTTTATTGAATGAGATGTGATATGAGGTTCTCACTGCAGTGTGTTTGAAGATGGCTGTCTTCTGGGATGTTGCACCATGGTAGATCTTCTTCTATGGCTCTCCGGTTCGTATTCGGTCCATGGCCTCCTCAATTCTCCTCTTCCATTCGTTCCTCTGTTAGGTCCGTCCGTCCGAGGCTTTGATTGAGGTTTTGAAACGTCTTCCTTTTTACGGTGCAAGGTTGTTAGCCTCGACCAATCTGGCTAGGGAGGCCCTACCAGTAGCTATGCTACCGCCAGCATATCTGTAGTCTGGTAGATACTGTCTGATATTTTAGAGGAGCTTACAGCCTCCATTATCATGGTGGTGATGATTAATCACAGAACACAGCCATTTTCTCATTTATTTAATATCTGTAGAACAAGGTGTTTCAGTGTAGTCTATTGATGTATGCTATTAGATTGGATATGCAGCTCATATTGCTGGGGCGCTGGCTGGACTGCTTCTGGGTATTAACGTACTCAGGAATCTGAGTGTCAAGTCCTGGGAAAAGAAGCTTTGGTGGGCCAGCATATGCATCTACGTGATCATCATGTCAGGAGCCGTTATATGGAATATCTGTTATACAGACTACTACCCTCAATCTGATAATTTCTAATGTCCTTGGATGTTGGTTCTGAAGAATTATCCTACTTTCTGAATTTTTATTGTGATTGTTATGGATGATCTAGGTTAGAAAGTGCAGGAAGGAGATTTAATGAATACATTTGTAATATTTTTCTCACAGGATGGTAAGGAACAGTAATTTTGTGTTTTGTTTAAATGAGAAAATGACACTCAAGTTTGGAATTAAGCATTAAGAAACAATCTTGCCTGTAGCTAAGCTAACTTAAGTTATCATTTGTACCTGTTGTTCAGTATTGCTCTGATTTTTTGTTAGAATACTGTAAGGTTTGACGTTAATGTAACATGACTTAATATTTCATGTGTGAAGTATTAAATATTAAGTTTTAAGTATCAAGTATTAATTGCATAGGAAAACTAAGAAACACCAAGAGCCAGCCTCAGTAAAGGTGAAGCTTCTTTATTTGTTTTAATATTAATGAAAACTGAATATGCTTTAATCTTCAAGAGACCTTCCCTTCCAGAATGATTAGAATGGTGTTGTTTCATAGTTTCTTATCCACATCTTTAATCTCAGTGCCTCATGCTTCCATTGGCTCATCTTTTCATAGATCTGCCAAATTTTTGCCTTTCTCATTTCACATTTTATTTTATCATCTAGAAGACAAACCACAAATCATATTCGCATGTGAACGTCTAACATCCAGTAATGCTGTGAGGCCAGTGTTTTATTTAGTATTTTATCAGTTACTCCCCTCCCCCCCCCCCTAAAACTTCACTTTCAAGGTATTTTACTTTCAATTATCCATTTCTTCTTAGGTCTAGCCATGTTTTACTCGCTATGGGTTGAATGTTGGGCTAGCTCAGGGGTGGGTAAACTGAGACCTGAAGGATGGATGGAGCCATGAAGTAATTAATTCCAGCCTGTGATGTTATTTAGATATTATTAATAATGACCATTTACTATTTTTCTTTCTTTTACACATTATACAAAATGTAGATAGTCAAAACTAAAGAACATAAAACTGAGAAGTTTATGGAAATGTGTGTTTTGGGATTTGCTACTTCAGTATATTGTTCCTATGAGAAAGTCAAATGGGGCATGCTACAGAATAGGTTTAATTTATGGGAGAACTGATCAGAGATCAGAATGTCATATCGGTTTTAATTATTATAGAATAATTTTTTATGTATTTTGATATTCTGCGAAATATCAGTCATCATGACTAACTGACAACCAACAGGTTGTGAAGCACAGACATTGTCTTATGAAGTCCTCCAGCAAGTGACTGCTTTTAAATGGTCCTATCTGGCTCATGATTAAAAATAATTGTGCATCTCTGTGCTAGCCTATTGCCTTTACATTGTCCCCTAACCAGTATTCACTGGCGTTGAAACCATAACTTATCCAAAAATATTGTTTTGCTATTTTTTTTAGAGGTGTTATATTTTAGAATTATTTCCTGTGTACATTTTACCTGCTACCATGTTGTAGACATATAGGAAGAAAAAGAAATGGGCATAAGAAATTATGTCACTGGTAGAGGTATAGACGATTCTGGAGTTCACAGGTACGGACGACGCAACCACAGTTCGCCGCAGACCAGCTACGGCCACCGGACCATCGGATCAATAGCTAAGTGCAGAGTTCAACTCCTGTGAATAACATCTAGTGCAGTATTGTTAAAATACTTTTGCTAAATACCCTATTCATTATTTATTTTCTAAATCCAGTTTGAACCATTTGATTAAATGAATTAATTTCCCTGATTCCACTGATGATGACCTCTTGAGGTTGAAACGCGTATGGCAATAGTTTCTTTTTTATAGTGTTAATAGTTATTTGTTTGCTTATTGTATATAAGAGAAGTGAAGAAATTAAATTTGTTGAAAGCGTATAGTAATTTTCCATCTCAACAGGCATATAAAATATATTGACGGGCCACCTGATAGCTATGTTACTTCTGTTATAGTGTTCCAGGATGTCGTTTATACAAGAAGAGCCTGTGTTTCTGTGTTTTGAGCTTACATAGTCAACCGAGATGGCTATAATTATGGGGACAGAGAATGTGAACTTACATAGAGCTAGAAATTACTTCCACAAAGAGTTGGGTGTAAATTTAATGTGTCAGGTCTCAACACACATTATTTGTAGATGTAGAGTATTTACGTATATAATCCAAGAGTATCTGGTCCTGTGTTTCGCGTGTGCGTCATATATTCATGTGTCTGTGTCTAAAAGTGTAAAATACTGAGAGGTTATAGGATTCCATATCTACTTTAAATTCATTATGGTATGTGTTCCACATACGATATGAACACTGTAAATTTTAGTTTAGCATCACCTAATAAAGTATTGTTTGTTAACCACCATAATAAGCAATTCATAATAAAAGTAACATATTAATGATGAAACATTTTTTTACATATTCTACCATCTGGTGAGAGAAGTATAAACCTAGTGTTTCAATTTCCCACTGGCATATGAATATACGATGCATGTAAAAAGCAGAATCTAGTAATTATTTAATGATGATATGGCAAACCATGTAACCGAACTACGTCACTTACCTTTGTGGAATAGACAGAGTTTAGTTTAGACTTCATGTTGCCTATTAACCTACAGTACGTTAGAATGCAGTCGACATATATAGCTCCCATTTATTAATTAAAATATACTATTCGTAACCGGAAATGTGTTAGATGGGCCCTCTTATCCGCCCTTCCCATATATCAGAATACAATTTCAAGTATTGTGTGGTAATGTACTTTGTGAAAAGGTCCAATTGACAAAATTACATGGCCGTGTCCTGAATATTTGTTAACGATTAATGAAAACTGCTCATATTTCTTACACTGTTCTTCACAATAAATTCTTTTAATTTTGTCATTCCCCAATGTGGACGGATGGGTATTTGAATTTAGTCGCCCAAAATACTCGTACTTCAACTGTTTGCATTTCTACTCCGTGATCTAATGCACCCGAGATTCGAACTTAATCGTCAGACACGATGACAGGGTGGCTTTCCTCCAATCGGTGATTCTTAGGACCAGGAATTTACTTCTTCCGACATAACGGTGAATAATTTCAGAAGCTCCTAGCCGTATTTCTGTCATACTCGAACCAGGAGATGAAAAATGAACTCAAACTTTATCTCTTACATCTTAATGTTTTTACCACGTGACCTCTAAAACAACAACCATAAAGCATTGCAGCCAGCTTATTTAACGTGCTGTTTCATGTCAGATGCATTATCTTATCACTAACGCATTATAATAGGAAAGTATACAAATTTGTCTCCTTGGCACCATTGTGCATTTCTCTAATGCAAAGGTCTCCTAAGACATTTCTATGGTCATGTTAGGTTTATCCCTTGTCACGGAGTTAATGAATGTGCATTTTCAGAACACAAACAGATATGGTCTCTGATTTGGGGGGGGGGGGTGGCGAAATGTTGCGCGGGACCTCCGTCTTGACCGGGCAATTGAAAACACGGTAATGAACCTTCAGGTTATAAAACACTGGAAAATTTTTTGATTAACTGACGACTATTAGCAAGCAGAGCTCTGCGCAGTGGTGTTAAATGTTTTTTTTTTGGGTAAGACTCCTTAATTTGGTATGGAATAAGCAACTGTAGCGGTAAACGCTGTATACTTGCATTAGGACGGTTGATCGAATCTCCGCCGATTTACCGACTGTCCTAAATCAGTCCCTCCATCGAATGCCGGAAAATAATCTTGAAATAACACTATTATCACCTTCTTCTAAATCATTGCCTGCTCACCATTCGTTTTCATCTTCACATCTCATTCCGACGTTGTATAATTTCTAAAGAAGTGACGACTTTCCCATTTGTACCACTTTACAGCAACGATAAGATATTAAATAACGTTACTGCCAAATAACCTGTATAGTTGACAGCACCGTTGATGTAGGGATGATCCAGCCGTAACTGTAGGATGACATGCACGTGTTGGTTTCTTGTCAGGGGATCTGTATATCATGAATTATGCGGTGAAAATTAGTTTCATCTTAAGTGTGTGGTAGATGGCGGTTTTATCGGCGCAGAAGCTACTCGAGCACTTTGGTATTTTATCTACTTCTAATGCGAAGCACTCATGTAACTTGAAGAACGCTCCGTCTAAATAAATATTACATCACCGATAAGTCAACCTTTTGATCAAAGTCTTGTCTGTGAAGATAATTTTGATTTTGGTTATGGCTGCAAACAGAACTCTCTCGACGATATTTGTATCTGTCAAGGACGAAAGTACGTGAGGACAAAACACCTTACATAACAAGAATGTAATGTATAGTGAGTAACTCTTCGCCCTGATGATGGAGGCAGCAAGGACCTCTGAAACGTCGGTAAACTTCTACCAGACTACACGGCGCAACAACCCAGAACACAGCCATCTTCAGACCCACCGCCGTGAAATCCTCAAATCCCACAAGCTATTATAATCGCCAAAATAAAACAGAAAAATATATAAACTTGAATGAAATCCAATTCACGTTGTAGGAAATGTACTAGCAAATTAGCTAAGTATGTCTATACAAAATGTGATTACTCAGTCACTTATGTTTGAACAGTTGATAATTGTCACGGTTATCAGCAATGTCAAAAGTAAAATAGTTTTCTTCTACTGCTGAAGACTATGTTATTAAAATTTTTGTACCCACTTGCTGCCCTGATTAAATATGAAAGTTGCAATGACAGAAATTGGAACAAGGCCACGTTTATCTGAAGTAATATTTTTAATTTTAGTGGAAGAAATTTGTTATATATAAAGTGGCATTTGAAGTGTACTCCGTGCATTTCTTCTAGTATGGCAACAATGAGGGCATTCTTGGCTCTGACGTTCCTGGCAACTCTCGATATCCTGGTAATAAATCTTTAGTTCTTAAAGTTAGGTTAGGAAATGTACGCACAGCGTAACAATTCTTTCATGTTCTATATCTTATTACATATCCAATTAGTGAATGATAACTTCTGACGCTTTCTTAAAGACATCTTCAACAAGCGAATCATACGAGCGTGGATCTCCAATGTACGTTTTCATAAAGTGATTCAGCTGTTTTCGAGCTGCTAGCTGACGCAGCATAAAACCCCTTTTTTTAATTACCTCGGAAACTGCGCTTAGATATCCCAGTTGGTCTCTGTCCCTTAAGGATTTTTTTAAAGATGTTTGTGTTGGATCTACGTACCGTACATAAATAAATTCTGAGATAAGATTGGTAGTAGAAAATGTCTTGACGTATTATAGAGGCACTAGTTCCTGGTAAAGTTATTTCGATTGCTTCTTGTTTATTTTTATCGAAGTGATAAAGTAAGATCATTGTAAAGCGACTGTTAGTTAAGAAAGTGGAAACAAACAGCCATCAGCAATTTTTTCGTCACATCTGAGATACAGAAAAATTATACAGTGCAGCCCTCGGCCTACATCATGTGATTCACATACCCACATTTCACGTGGTCGTTTGTGGTAAACGAAAGTTTCGCTCTAAAACTGTTTCCTCATCTGCTTTATTTGAACGCTATATAGCCTGGAATACTGAAAAAGCGTCTTAAAATATACTGCAAATAAATAAACACAATAGAACATTTTAAAATGGAAATATCTGCGTTAAAGTCTAAGGTAATGAATGGTATTTAAAGGACAGGGTACAATTAAAACCAAAACTGCAGTAGACATTAGTGTATAGGAACAGGTAAATACATTTGTATGTTAGGGAAGTAGTATTTTATACGGAGATAACAACATAAATTAATTAATTTTGCTCATTTTTTGGATCTCTGAACCATGTTACGAAGCCATATGTAATTCAAAGACAATCCCAATTGATGTTATATTTTAGCCATCCCATCACTTTCAATTGGATGTGAAATCTTATTACACCATATAATAAATGAAGATATATTAGAACTCGGTGTGGCCCCTATTTTTTATTTAGTGTTCTGTCTGACGACAGGTCCATATGAACAGGATCCTTCCATCCTTTTCTCGGACTGGGACCTGTTCATATACGTTCTTGGCAGATGATCCAGAAGTGGTTTGCAATTGCCTTCTTCTGTGTGTGA